CATCCCCATCCCCATCCCCATCCCCATCCCTCCTCTCTCCCCCCCTTCCTGCTCGCATCAACCCGTTTCTTTTGCCGCCACTGGCGTTTCAGCCAAGGTAGCAGTCGGGGAGAGACACGGGAGGAATCTGCGGCGAGACGGCAACACTTGTCGCTGACAGCTGTGGCAACCAAGGGGCCATACAACAGAAAATGGAGCACTTTAAGCAGTCATGGAACCGGCCGTCTGAGATCTGGGCACTTCTCAAGTTCAAGTTTACCACCAAGCACGGAGCTGACCTCCCGCCGCTCTCCGACTCGCTCTCGGACCTCGAGTGGTTGCATGTCAAGCTTGTCCAGACCTCCCGTTCCTTTGCGGGCGTCATCAGGGAGATGCACTCGGAGCTCCAGCTTCCTGTACGTAGAGATTATTCCTTCTACACCACACACATACCCATATTCCAATCCATGTCATATCATGCTCCACCATCTACATCTCCCCGTCACACACTCCGTCCACCTCTCGGACGAACGAGGGGGGATCGCCCAAAATCACCGCACATTGCCGTTTGGAGGGGGGGAGGGGGGGGGGGGGGGGGGGGGAATGGTGGAACAGGTCTTCCCCCCTCCTCCCCAAACACACACCACACACACACACACACACACACACACACACACACACACACACACACACACACACACATAGCACGCATGGCGTACCTGTCGTGCAAGTAGCATCCAGTCCGGTTCGTAAGCGGCCCTGCTGCCGGCCATGTTCACGACTGCTCCTGCCCCCGAGACGTGTGTGGGGGTGCCGGTGCTGGCTGGCGGTGAGAGCGGGAGCACTTGGCGGAACAGATCGCCTTTGCAGTGCGCCAACAGCCGTCTGTACGCAGAGGCGCGGGAACGGTCTCGCGTGGACAATCGACGGTTCAATACTGATCATCATCAGCTGTAGTGGGAGGTGGGATCGGGGCCGGAGGCGGAGGCGGGCGTGGCCGCATGAGCGGTGTCGGCGGCCGGCGATGCATGCACCAGGCCTATCAGCTCATCCTGGAACTCGGCAAGGGTTGGGCCGAGGGCAAGCAGCCAGGCTTGCATCTCATTGAACGAGGCTGCGAGCCAGTGGATAGTTCGGCCGTCGTTGAGCTCGATGGAAAAGCCCGAGGAAGAGCCCGAGTCTTGGTACATGGCCTCGATGTCGACGAGCGTGGCCATGCCCTTAAAGACAAAGAAGCCCTCCTTCTTCGATGGCTTTGTCCACACCATGACGTCCGAGAAGAGAAAGACGTAGAAAGTCTCGACCTTTTTGCTAGTGCCGGAGCTCCCACCACAGCGCTCGAGCGGCCCCTCCTTGCGCACAACTCGCTCCGAGTTGCCAGAAATGTCAAAGGGGCAGTCGCGGACGGCGGCCTTGACCATCACGACCCGCTGCCAGTTGATCATCCGGGTCTGAGCCGCGTGGACCTCCGAGGCCAGCGCGTCAAGGCGGGCCGCGTGGTCCGGAAGCAGTGATCCGGGCTCGGCCACGGCCGCCAGCTGTGTGACCAGCAGCGTCAGCGCCGCGAGCCGCTTGAGCGGAACCATGAGCAGTTGCTCGAGCTTGCTCTTGTACGCCACAGTCGCCTCGGTCCGCGCCGCGGCCTCGCTCAGAAAGTCGAGGAAGGCTCGATGCGCTCCGGGAGCTTCGCGGACCTTGGTCAACTCGCCAAGGGCCAGCGCCGAGTTCATGCCGTACGTTCGGTACAGCGAGGTGATGTCATCCATCGCTCCCGCGAGCACACTGTCGAGGCCAGCAGCAGTGGGCGACTCGGCCGAGTTTGCCCGCAGCGCTTCGAGAAACTCGCTGTGAAAGGCAAAGAGCGACTCGACGTTGCAAAAGATGATCTCGCGCTTATCCACCGCGAGCGTGTTGGCGCCCAGAAACCGGAGCGGCATGAGGTAGTCGTATGTGACGGTGGCGAGCTGAGCCACATGCTTCTCCTCAGAAGCGATGAGCTCGCGTACCAACTCGAGGCGGCGAACGTCGTTCGGTGTGAGCGAAACAAGGTTGGCAGCGCCAGACGATCCGTCTTCGGCGTCGGACGCCAACAGCACCCGTGCCACAAACTGGTCGGTCTCGCCGGGCTTGCCGCCGTGGACTTGCGGGCCGTCGCGGTCAAAGTCACCGGATGGAACGGCCTCGGTAGACTCGGACGCCGACGAGGTGCGAATGCTGAGCGCATCGTCGGCGGCCGACGCTCCCTCGGCTTCAGTGCCAACGAGTGCGTCGTGGACCGACGGCGGGCGGGGATAGACATCTAACAGTGATCCGAGCTGGGAGAGCGAGGTGTGGAGCGCAACTGTGCGCGCTGCGGCATCGGTCAGATTGCGCGCCGCAGCCACAATGGACTGGACAACAGAGTCGAGTGCTGTCGTCGTCATTCCATTGCGCCCGTTGAACAGAATGCGGGCCTTGCTGGCAAAGGCTACAGCAGCATTGACCAGGTCCTGGCTGTCAAAGCCCTGCAGAGCGGTGACAGCTGCGGCCAGCATGTGGACCTGCTTGACGACGGCGAGAACCGCGGCGCGGAGCTCGCCATAGTGGCGGGCGCCAAGGTGGTTGACAAAGACCCGCAGCCGGTGTCGAAGCAGCTCGTTGTGGTCTTCGGGCGAGGCGTTGTGTTCGTTCACCACTGGCGCCGTCAGCTGGGACCACGAGCGGCGGCCGACGCCGGTATGCGGCGGTGCCGGGCGAGCCGATGTCGGCAGAGTCGATGATCGCCCGGCAAGCGCCATGTTACGCAGCGCGGATGGCTGTGAGCACTCTGGGCAGAGCGGGCGAGAGTCAGGACCGCGAAAGTAGCCGTGATCTAGGACGGCGGAGCAGGCTGAGCAGACAAAGCAGGATGCGTGCCACATCGAGTCACAGGCGCGGATGTGCGCGCCGTCGGTGATCGGCTTTGTGCAAGCCGAGCAAATGTAGCCAAGGCGAGTGTAGTAGTGCTCGGGGCAGTAAGGTTTGTTGCGATGAACGTGATATGAGCTGGTGAAGGCACAGGCGCAGACGGTACAGACAAAGCAGGCCTGATGCCAGTGACGATCGAGCTCGTACAGGTGTGCGCCGACAATGACATCGCCGCAGCCTTGGCACGTCAGATGATGAAGAGCATTAAAATGATCAGCACAGTACACGTAGCCTGAGGTCTTGTCCAGAAACGGCTCTGCAACCACCAGATCCAGGCCACACTCTTTGCACGCCATGTGCTCGGCGTGCCATCGGGTGCCAAAGGCCTCCACCGCGCCGGCCTCGTCTGCGGGCACATGCAGACCGCAGCCACCACACGTACCACCAGCACCATCGGCACCAGCATACGCGTCATTCCTTACACTTCCCTCTGCCCTCTGCTCTTCCGACATGTCTGTCGTGTGTGGCGGAAGGGGGGTGGGGGGGGGGGGGGTGGGGGGGAGTCGGGTGGTGGGCGGCGAAGTGAGCAACGTTCGCTCGGCGGAATTGGCAACGGATTTAGGGGAGCGGGAGGGAGAGGGAGGGAGGGAGGAAGGGAGGGAGGGGCTGAGCATCAGATCTCAATCCGATCATATCATATGACATCAGATCAGGATCATATCATATGTCATCAGATCAGATCAGACCAGATCAAATCAGATCAGGCCATGTCGCTGGTCACCAGGTGCGACCACATGAGCCAGGCTGTCCACGTCGCCGATGCGATTGCTGCAAGAGGGGAAGGCATAACAGACTTGACTTTAGACCAAACACTATGGCAGAGACCGTGGCTCCGGTGGTGATCGAAACAAGCGTGGCGACGACGGATGCGGCTGGATCGATGCTGGCGGTAGCGCTGACGCTGCCTGCAGAGCGGGCTGGCGAGGCGGCGGCGTGGGAGGCGGCGTTGGGCAGCGGGGCACCGGTGGCTTCCGGAGCGCCGGCAGTGATGGTGTGCCACGGGCTGTTTGGCCACAAGGACAACGTGTTCTTCCGGGCGCTGGGTCTGGCATTGGCACGCAAGGGCCTGGTCGCGCTTCGCATCACCTGCCGCGGCAACCGCGGCTCCGGTGGGGCATGGGCCATGTCGGGCTACGCTGATGACGTGGACGACATGCTGGCGGTGATGGCGGCAACTCGGGCTGGACTCGGCCTCGAGTTTGTGGCCCTCATCGGCCACTCACGCGGCGGCAACTCGGTGGTGCTTGCTGGTGCCGATCCGCGGTGCCCGTCGTCGGTTGTTGCTGTTGTCGCCCTTGCCCCGCGGAGGCTCATGCCGGCCATCGTCCCGCGGTACTTTACCGAGAGCCAGGTGGCCATCATCCGAGCCGCCGGCTCGCTCCGCTGGGTCCCGGCCTTCAAGCCGTCTGTTGAGGTCACCATCACTACCCAAGACCTCGACACGCTGCTGGGCCTTGACATGGACGCAGCCTATGCCGCGCTCGACTCCATGTCTTCCCGAACAGTCACCGTCGTCCACGGCGACGCTGATGCGGTCATTCCGGTCGATGACTCGGCCTCGCTGCCGGCTGCCTTCCCGTCGGTCGGCTTTGTCTGCGTTCCCGGAGCCGACCATCTGTTCACCAACACGCCCGACGCATCAGACGCGGTCGTCACCGCCGCCATCGACGCCGTCGTCGCCGCCTCCTCTACCTAGAGCATGTCGTCTTGGTACTCGTCGGCAACAGGCGCCAGATCGTCGGTTGAACGCGGTGGAATCGGTGCTCCCGGAGCATTGGCACGCAGCGGCTGGCCGGGGCCGAGCGACGCCGCCATGCCGTGGCGGAAGATCACAAATATGGCCACAAGGGCAGCGATGAAGCCCGAGCCAGCCATGAGAGTCGTAAAGAGGTAGAACCAGTACCATCCGAGGGTGGCGTTGGCGTTATTGGCGATGTACACCACCTCGACCGAGAAGCAGGTCGAGAGAACGGTGGTGGACGCAGCGAGAACACCGAGGAGATACAGCGGGACACGCGGCGGGTACAAGCCCGCCATGGCCGGCGACGACGAGATCACGTAGAACCGATAGGTGAGGAAGACCGCACTGAAGCCCGGCAGCACAAAGGCAAAGACCCACAGCCACCATCCAACCGCAAAGCATACCGTACCTGACTCGTCCTCGTCGATCATCAGCCGTGATGGGCGGGTGAGTGGGTGGGCATGTCGGCAGGCCGGGGTCAGTCTGCTGTGGGTTCGGCTGGGTAGCAACCCCTCCCCCTCCCCTCCCCTCCCCTCCCCCTCTCCTGCCTCGCGCTCCACCTACCAAACGCCGTCTGTCCCGCAGCCGCGTGCAAAAGGGTGTGGTGAATGTGTGCAGGTGCCTGGGTTAGGTCAGAGTTGCGCAACATGGGCAATGACTTGGTGGCGCGAGTCAGGTGCTGTCAGCTGTCAGCTACGGGGGCGCTACCACGTGCTGGGTGGAGGGGGGGGAGGGGAGGGGGGGGGGAGGGGGGGGGGACATGGGGAAATGGTGCATTCCTTGAAAGACTACAGCACTCAGCGCTCCATCGGCCGCACAAAGCACTCGGCCAGATAGGTGGCGACGTCAGCGGTGGGCACAAAGTGGTCGGTGACCGACTCGATGTAGTAGGCGAGGGCGATGTCGCGGACACCGGGCTCGAGCTTGTTGAACTGAGAAGAGACCCGTGAGGCCTGAGCTGCCAGTGGGGTGAACACTCGCGATTTGGAGCCTGCGATGACAAAGTCGGAGCGTGCGGCGCCGCGGCAGTAGGTGGCGGACGCACCGCGCGCGGCAAGAACAGCAGGGTCCAGCGACGGCGGCGCAGCGACAGAGGCGCCGACGAGGATCGCGTCGTCGGCAAGATGTGCGAAGCGCGAGGTGAGAAGGGCTGAGACAAAGCGAGCGCCGGAGGAAATGACGCGGTTGAGCGAAAAGTCGCCAAGGACGTCGAGATCGGGCTTGACGGCGGTGCCGTCGATAACGAGGCAGAGCCAAGTCCAGAGTGTGAGGAGCTGGCGGGCCGGCGGCGAGACGTTGAGCGGAAGCGGCTCGCCAAAGGTAGCGTTTGCCACCAGGTCTTTGTGCCTCCGCGAGACAAAGGACATGACCGAGACTGACATGTCGAGGGCGGTGACGTGGTGGAGCCAGTACGCCGGGAGCCAGAGCATGTCGCCCGGCTCGAGCACAACAGAGTAGCCGCGATTGACAAAGCCCTCGTGTCGCCGGCGGCCGCGGACCGCCAACGCGTCGGCGGCGGCGGGAAAGGCGTGAAGGTCCAGCGCCTCGACATCGATCTGGGCCTGTCGCGTAGCGGGGTGGAGCGAGGAGAACATGTAGAGCGAGTCCCAGGCAAGCGGGTCAACCAGCACAAACCGCTTCCGCCCGCGGACTTGCATAAACAGGTTGTCCGAGTTGTCGTGATGCAGATGAGCGGTGACGCCCGGCGATGAGAGCCAGACCTTGGCCGGGCCAGCGCCGTCCGGCAGGACGTCGACAAACGGCTGGAGCTCAGCGCGCAATGCGGGAGCCAACTCGGCGGCGGCGCGTGACATGTACATGTGGTGGCCAAACGGAATGTCGTCCGGCGCCTTGTCGGCGTGCTCGGAGAGGAAGGCCGCCGCCGGCACGGAATCGAGGACCTGGTACGGCTGACGCCACGAGACGTCGTCAACGCCAGCCAGCAGCGGCTTGAGGTTGTCGACGTAATAGAACCGCTGCCCGGTAGTCGAGTTGGCCAGCACATTGCGCAGCGTGCCGGCGGCATCCGCCACATGATCCGCCGTCCATCGCGCCAGCACCTCGGCCGACCACTGCGGGCCGAGCGACGCCGAGCGGATGACCGCCGGCCGCCTCCGGCCTAGCAAGGCACGCACAAACTCATCCGGCTCACGCCCCGCCTCCATCACCACCTCTTCAACATCCGCCAGCTCGAGCTCGTCCAAGGACAGCACGCGGCCGCCCTCGTACCTGTCGCCTGTGCCAGTCGCCGCGTCGGACATTGCCCACGCCCACACCACCGCAACCATGACGGCGACGACGGCGACAGCCAGAGCCAGCCGCGGCATCGGCTGGTCATGCTGGGACGAGGGAGAGGAGGAGGATGGGGACGACTTGTGGCGCTGCAACTTCTTGCCCATGGTGGTAGGACGGGAGGAGCGGGGGGGGACGGAGCGGGGTGATGTGGGCTGACTTGCTGCTCCGCTCGCTGTCGGCTTGTTGCGGGAGAGCAGACACACATTCACAAAGACAAAGACAGTCTGGACTCTTTCACGTGGTTCATTGATCCACCGCGCATCACGCGCGATGACGCATACGGAAGACGCATACGGAAGACGTCAGGTGCAAGACGCAAGACGCATCAACGCCGGCCAGAGCTGGCAGTGATGGTGGCCGAGGCAGGGGTGGCGGGCGCGGCGGCGGTGGTGGCCGACGTTGGGGTGGCAAACGAGGCGGCAAAGTCGGCGGTGGAGGCTGCGACGGCAGCAGAGGAGCGAGAGGCCGAGTTGCGGGAAGCGACCTTTGCGGCGGCGGTGGTGATGAGATAGGCGACGGTGGGCTCGATGTCGTGGCGGAGGTCAGGGGTGGCCATGATGCCCTGGCAGAACTTGAGCTCTGCACGGAGAGCGTCCTTCTCGGACTCGTAAGTGGTAGCGAGAAGGGTCTGGTACTGGCGGGCGAGCTTTGCGCGGTGGAGGCGGCATGTGGCCTTGATTTTGGATGGCGAGCCGCCTGCGAGGCGGTCGTTGGCGGTGACGTGGGTGAGCGAGGCAATGGCGTCGTCGAGCTCGTTGCGCTCCTGCTCGTCGGCGAGCTGGAGGACGTCGGAGAGGATGGAGGCGACCTTGTCGTGGACCTTGTCCTCCATGAACCGCGAAATCTCCTCGAGCTCGGGCGCAGGCAGGTGCGAGCCAGCCTGGAGGATGACCTCGAGGTAGGAGAGCGAGACCTCGCGGAGGCAGGTGATGATGTGGTCGGAGATCTCGCCGTCGGCAAGGGCGATGGTGGTGGGGACGAGGGCGTCGGACGCTGCCTCGAGGACCGAGGCGGGTCTGCCGAGCTCACGGCGGGCGTCGCGCGGTGAGGCCACGCGCTCGGTGAACGAGACCGAAGAGCGGCGCGAGACGGCCTGCCCGCGGAGGTCGCCGTCGTCACCGCGAGTGGAGCCGGCCATGGCGCGGCGGGCGGCACGGGCGGCGTTGCGCTCGGCCACCGAGAGCTGCGAGTCGTTGGCGGAGACAGAGCCATCGGTGAGCGTGCCGTCGTCGGTGAACGAGGCGTCGTCGCCAAAGTCGGAGCCAGCGCGCTCTGGGTCCCATGCCGGGTCAACTTCGCCGGTCACCTCGTCGGGCCGGGTCTTGTGGAAGAGGATGAGCGCGAGGTTGAGGACTTCCTGAAGCTCGAGCGCCTTTTGCTGCTTTGCCGGGCGCTTGGAGACATAGTGGCGGACAACAACCATGTACGAGGCCGACATCAGCTTGGGCTTGTGGACAAAGACGGTCTCGATGAGCGCTGGAAGCCGCTTGACAGGCACCATCTGCAGCGAGGTGGCCTCGGTCGCCTGGCCGACCTTGCGGAAGCGCGAATAGAGCTGAATGCGGGCGTGGAGGAAGAACTGCAGGTCGGTCACGTCGTAGAAGCTCTCCAGAAAGTTGCCAAAGACCTCGATCTCGAGGAAGACCGGGCGGAGGGTCTCCACGTTGTACACAAAGTCCCACAGGTTTTGCTTGACGAGCGCGTCAAGGCCAAACTTGTTCTGAAAGTACTTGTACACAAACTCAGGGAAGCCCAGCGCCGGCTCCATGCCGAGCTCGGCGGCGGTGAGGGCGAGGTCGACGCCCGGCGGCGCGCCGCGCGGGTACTTGCGCCGGCGGGCAAGGTGGATAAACTCGGCCCGCTTGGTCTCGTAGTGCTCGTCGTACGCGTGCCGTGCGTCGTAGATCTCCTCGATCTGCGTGAGGAGCCACGGGACCGCGTGCCGCCGGGTCCGCATCTCCGACACGTCGCCCACGAGCTTGCAGAACTCCTCGTACCGCCCGACGATAAAGTCACGGGTTTGCTTGTACCGCCGATCGTTGGGCACGTCGGCCGATCCGCGGGACGGGACTGTCGGGCGGCGGCGTCCGCTCTCGCTCCCGCCTTCCCCACGCATGCCGTGGCGAGCAAGGGCGGCCTCAGTCCGCTTGCGGGCATTCTGTTGACGGATGTGGGCCGGAGTGGGGAGCTCCTGCACCCGCCACCTGCCCGAGTACAGCGATGTCTCCGGGTCCTCTTCAAAGTGGACATGCTGTGCAATGAGAAAATCGTAGAACTTGACCCGCTGTTCGTACGACATGCCGTCTGCGGGGTGGGGGGTGGGGGGTAGGGGGGCGGGGGGGTTAGTGGCCTCAAAAAACGGTCGGGGAGACAGAGGGGGGCGGAAGGGGGGGGCAACCGACTGGGGGTAGGGGAGGTGCGGGGGGTGGGAAGGGGGTGGGGATGGCGTACTGAGGGTCAGCTCCTCGTTGGCTGTAAAGTCCATGGCGGGGGGCTGCGCCAGTGAGAGAGGACTGTGGTGGTGGTGGGGTGGTGGGTTGCCCTTGGGCCGGTGGTGGGGGGGGGGGA